TATCCATCACACAGATTAGTGGAAATAACTCCCTATTGGCTGCTTTGTTGGAAAAGGTCTCGGTAAGTGGATTATTTGATAGACTCAACCTGGTGTGAAAAACGATGTCAGTCAAAAGAGGGACACAGTTGTCCATAGTTTATTGGTTTATTGTCACAGGTTTAAATTCTCGTTACTGGATAACTCATACCAACATCACTGGTTTATACTTCTTTGGCTAGATAACTTTTATAAACATTACCCGTTAACACTTCCTTTACAGGTTTAGAAAGCTTAACTGGTTCACATTCCCTTTACTGGATAATGTCTACTAACTTTACTGGTTTACATTCAATTTAGTGGATAACGTTTACTAACTTTACTGGTTTACATACCCTTTACTGGATCAACTTTACTGGTTTACATACCCTTTACTGGATACACTTTACTGGTTTACATACCCTTTACTGGATAAACTTTACTGGTTTATATTCCCTTTACTGGATACACTTTACTGGTTTACATACCCTTTACTGGATACACTTTACTGGTTTACATTCAATTTAGTGGATAACGTTTACTAACTTTACTGGTTTACATTCCCTTTACTGGTTACACTTTACTGGTTTACATTCCCTTTACTGGATAACGTTTACTTACTTTACTGGTTCACATACCCTTTACTGGATACACTTTACTGGTTTACATACCCTTTACTGGATACACTTTACTGGTTTACATACCCTTTACTGGATACACTTTACTGGTTTACATTCAATTTAGTGGATAACGTTTACTAACTTTACTGGTTTACATTCCCTATATTGGATAAACTTTACTGATTTACATACCCTTTACTGGATACACTTTACTGGTTAACATTCAATATAGTGGATAACGTTTACTAACTTTACTGGTTTACATTCCCTTTACTGGATACACTTTACTGGTTTACATACCCTTTACTGGATACACTTTACTGGTTTACATACCCTTTACTGGATACACTTTACTGGTTTACATTCAATTTAGTGGATAACGTTTACTAACTTTACTGGTTTACATTCCCTATATTGGATAAACTTTACTGATTTACATACCCTTTACTGGATACACTTTACTGGTTAACATTCAATATAGTGGATAACGTTTACTAACTTTACTGGTTTACATTCCCTTTACTGGATACACTTTACTGGTTTACATACCCTTTACTGGATACACTTTACTGGTTTACATTCAATTTAGTGGATAACGTTTACTAACTTTACTGGTTTACATTCTATATTGGATAAACTTTACTGATTTACAACCCTTTACTGGATACACTTTACTGGTTAACATTCAATATAGTGGATAACGTTTACTAACTTTACTGGTTTACATTCCCTTTACTGGATAAACTTTACTGGTTAACATTCCCTTTACTGGATAGCCTTTACTGGTTTACATTCCCTTTACTGGATACACTTTACTGGTTTACATTCCCTTTACTTGATAACGTTTACTTACTTTACTGGTTCACATACCCTTTACTGGATACACTTTACTGGTTTACATTCAATTTAGTGGATAACGTTTACTAACTTTACTGGTTTACATTCCCTATACTGGATAAACTTTACTGATTTACATACCCTTTACTGGATACACTTTACTGGTTAACATTCAATTTAGTGGATAACGTTTACTAACTTTACTGGTTTACATTCCCTTTACTGGATACACTTTACTGGTTTACATACCCTTTACTGGATACACTTTACTGGTTTACATACCCTTTACTGGATACACTTTACTGGTTTACATTCAATTTAGTGGATAACGTTTACTAACTTTACTGGTTTACATTCCCTATACTGGATAAACTTTACTGATTTACATACCCTTTACTGGATACACTTTACTGGTTAACATTCAATTTAGTGGACGTTTACTAACTTTACTGGTTTACATTCCCTTTACTGGATACACTTTACTGGTTTACATACCCTTTACTGGATACACTTTACTGGTTTACATACCCTTTACTGGATACACTTTACTGGTTTACATTCAATTTAGTGGATAACGTTTACTAACTTTACTGGTTTACATTCCCTTACTGGATAACGTTTACTTACTTTACTGGTTTACATTCCCTTTACTGGATAAACTTTACTGGTTTACATTCCCTTTACTGTATAAACTTTACTGGTTTACATTCCCTTTACTGGATACACTTTACTGATTTACATACCCTTTACTGGATACACTTTACTGGTTTACATTCAATTTAGTGGATAACGTTTACTAACTTTACTGGTTTACATTCCCTTACTGGATAACGTTTACTTACTTTACTGGTTTACATTCCCTTTACTGGATACACTTTACTGGTTTACATTCCCTTTACTGGATAAACTTTACGGGTTTACATTCCCTTTACTGGATAGCCTTTACTGGTTTACATTCCCTTTACTGGATATACTTTACTGGTTTTCATTCCCTTTACTGGATAAACTTTACTGGTTTACATTCCCTTTACTGGATAACCTTTACTGGTTTACATTCCCTTTACTGGATAAACTTTACTGGTTTACATTCCCTTTACTGGATAAACTTTACTGGTTTACATTCCCTTTACTGGATAACACATACTAACTTTACCAGCTTACATTCCCAAAACTGGATAGCTGTTACTTACATCACAGTTTACACATTTGATTTACTGGTTAACCTCTTCAAACATTTCTCACGGCTAGCATTCACTTGACGTCTCTGAACTATTATACGATTTCTGTTTTGTTTTGCAGATTAACGAGTACAGGAACAAACGACGCGACAAAGTAAAGCTTTATGATTTTCAAACTCATCATGATGACTTGGATTGGTATTTAGATACGAAAGTCAGGGATCTTGAACTATATGGTTTAGGATTACAGAGCAACTTCGGATTGCCTCTGGCATAACAAAGAACAGTGATACAAGATACTTCCGAACAACAGGACCGGACGGGCACCTGCTGTATCGTTGTGTTATTTACAAGATGCTGTGATTATTTTGATATTTAAGTTTAATCTGATGTTGCGGGATAGTTACCTTCTGTTTAGTTTATATTTTGGTTGACTTGATTTTTTTTCTTTGTATTTCATTTCAATGGAGTACAACTATGACGTATTTAATTATGTTATCATTGTTTGAGTAAATGACAACAAGTGGTCTGTAAGTCTTAAACAGATGGATATTAGTTTTGTTTGTTTGTGTAGAATTTGTTTTCATTAATAAAAAAAATATACACGGGGAAAAAGGTTTTGAAAATCTTTCTAGTCCTTGTGCAGAACAATATCCGAAGAATTTCCAAAGCTATCTTATTACAAGTATATTAAACAGTAGAAGAAAGGTAGCAATATTCATGTTGTGATAAATTCATGATTCTCTTTATAATCTATATCAGTCATTTACGAATAAAGTAATTTATCAATGCGAATAAAACTGCCGTAATATTAATCTGCAAGACTTTGCGTTCAGTCAGATTTATTCGACGTTAAATGACGCAGGGTTCAATTTCAGTAAGGCTATATGAAGATTTATCTGTGACAACACCAGCGTAGGAAGCGCGCTTCCAACTGATAAACTTTCAATTTAATCTGTTTGTGTAAACACACTGCACCCAAACAATATATGACCTAGTTTGTCGCCCCTATTGAGATGACAAAACAATTGTGCAAGTTTAATAATATACAACGGACATACCTACAGACCTGTTTTGATTAAACGACTTAACAACTGGTAAATTGTCTTAACTATGTATTGTAAAAGACTTGGTTGATAGAGACGTACATATGTGTTAAATAGTCTTTTAATTAGGTCACAACTAACTTGTTCAACGAAACTTATTTTCTTTAGTATTGATTTTCTTTATTATTCGCAGGATCTATTTTTCCTGAATAATTGCACATTGTTTATCCCAATGAAAATGACAAATATTCAAATAACTCCTGAATTAGTACATTCTCACGCACCATTTTCGATACTCAAGGAGTTATGAACATTTTCAATTCCTACACCCACCCGAAAAATTTTCATTTCCTACACCCCCGGAACATTTCCTGGCAAAAGTGAAGCCAAAGGCAAAGTAATTCGGTTGGTCTAGACTGGCGGGTTGAAGGAGAAAACAAGAAGTGTTTATGAAACACTATGTCCCCTGTTGCGACAGAATTCTGAAGTAGGACATCGAAACTAGCGTGTAAGACACGTGCTAATTGCATGCACACTTTGTGAAACACTTACATCTACTGTGGGAATGATTTTTTTTTTTTACGGTGCAATAGTTAAGGGCAAGGTGAAAGAAGATAACAGACAAACACCTACACAGCATGAAAACAATATGCACCCGAAATGCTATGTAATGTTCCAGAGGTGCAGAGAGGATAGCGAGTGTAATCCCATAGAAGTAAAACTTCACGCATCAAAAGAATATCACTTTATGAAAAATAAAAATGTAACAGTCACAAAAATCAAGGCATGATTATATTTCAATAAATTCTTTTCTGGATTTGAGATTTCAGAAAAATCATAAAACGAAATTTCTAGACTCTATATATAATACAGAGACCTTTTCTTATTATATCCTTTGATTTTGGAAATAGTTTATATCACGTAGCTTAAAATTAGACAGATATGTATTATCTGATATCGTGGTATCAGCTGCTGACAACATGCGTGAAACGTCAATAACTACAGATGTTTGCAAATTTGTAACAGCTTGTATAATTCAGAATTGTCAACTTATAGCTTGTAACTCACTAACTGCTATGATTGCGACATATTGATGATACAATGTATACAGCTTAATTACTTTGTTTATTTCCTTTGAAATCTCTTTGTCAGTGTAATAATTTCTCCTGTTTTTTTCTGATTTGTACGGTAGATCACGACTGATTATCAGTGTTCAACGAAAAAGATATCCGTAGCCTCACCATAATCTTGAAACGGAAGTCGATATCGATCGAAGCGCCATCTGTCGCATGGCGCCATCTTGCAAGTTCTGTACAACTTGGAAGCAGAAGTGAACAGCTGAAGATGGAGGTGGAGAAGATTGACATGTCTCTTGGTAAGATTATTTTTCTGGTTTATAGTGGTTTAAAATTACATAAGATGCATTCGAAGTCAGGTCTGTAGTCTGTATAACATGTAAATTCATTCGAAACTTGGAGTTCGAATTTTGTAAACACACACTGAAGTTTCAAAACATTAGAGCATAATTGATGATCTGGGATGCTGAACGGCAACGCTGGGTGACCAGTGGCTAGGAAATAGATCCATGTTGTACTCATTCCATTGGTGCCGATTTAAATTTTGTTCAGAATCGTTATTTATCGGTATTTTTCTTGAATGTTACCCATGATTGAGTAATCGAGACTATAATGTACATACTCTCTTTACTTAGTCTATCTAAAACGCGTCAACAAGTGACAACAAACGTCGGTAAGAGTCCTTAGCAAATATCTTTTAAAATGCTCCTTAAAGTTATCAACATTAAGATATATGTTCGTAATTTAACCATAATACACTTATATATACATAGACTTAAATGTTGTTTTTTGTTTTCATAATCTGATAAATCAGGGTTTTTCAATATTTTGTTAGTAGTAGGCTGTGTAGTGAAAGTAGGAGGCTGGCCTGGCGTGTACGTGTAGTCGTGTACGGAACATTATTATGTAAATGCTTGAATTGTGGTCTCATTCACGTTCAGAATATTAAATGATTCAAGAGATACATGTTGAAAGAAAGGCGGATAACCAGTCTAACCTGTCATATTTTCTTTAAAGCTACATAGAGTAGCTGAAGTTAGATAGAATAGCCAAGGTAATTTAAGCTTGTTTGAATATAACACTAGTATATATGATGTGTCCTGCTTGAAAAATCATTGATTGAAACAACACAGGAAGATTGTTGCTTAGCTTTGAATTTTTATTCTGTAATTGCTAACTTTCAACTAAAATAATCTCTTGTGTATCCAGTTGAAAAGATATATTTGAAATTCCAATACATCTTGTGCCTGTGCATTGCAATCAAAATATCAGGTTATATCAGAAAGCTGTCCAGTCGATAAACTGTCCATTGGCTGTAATTTTAGGTGGGCAGTAATTTTAGGTTGAAAAACTTTGTTTCCGTAAACATTTATGTGTATGTCGAAATAGCAGATGCTTTCATGAGTTGCCAAGTGCACAAAAGTCATGGTGATCGGGGACTGCTGAGAGCAAATAATCACGAGTTGTTTACATTGAAAATTTTATTCATGCTATCTGTTTATTATTTCATTCACACTAGCATAATAATACATTGCCCACCTGTCAAGTTAATTGAGGCTTTAAACACTTGATAATTCGATGTTGAATCATTTATGTTACTGTAGCCAGGTGCAGTTGTAAACACACTCCACTCTCGTACTCCATGTGTGTCTGTGTTAACCTTGTGACTTCATACTTGAGTGGAATATCTTTTGTATATTCTGTTCTGTAAACAATACGTGAGCATGTTTACCTGTACCCACACTAGACTAGGCAGTTTAAGTTTAAATAACTTGTTTCGCAATTGTTGTAAAACAAATAAAGTTTATATTATATTTATGTATATTCTGTTCTGTAAACAATACATGAGCATGTTTACCTGTATCCACACTAGACTAGGCAGTTTGTCTTGACCGATCGACTGGTGACAGCACTTGCACAGACTTTTCACTCTTAAATCCCACCACCCTGCATCCGTATATAAAGACTTGCAGTCTTTCCCCCCTGCAGATCTATATATCATTCGTCATACTGGTAAGTGGTGTCCGACTGATTTCCACTATATATACATGAATTATTCAAGACAGCCATTCTTGATAAGTTATTAATCTGTTTTAATAAGTATAAATGTTGTTGTGATGATTTTACTTACATATAATTGTAACCTTTAACCTTACTGCTGTCGTTTGGCGTTATCCTGTTTATGGTGAATGAATGAATAAATGAAAAATGAGTGTTATTTTTTTAGTAGGTTTTCTTCTACTGTTTTGATAAAAGATAAATGGCAGTCGCTGTGTCTGGTAGTAATTACAACCCTCGACCTGCATAGGCTAAATTAAGCCATAGCAGAATGTGTAAATTTGTTCTGTGTTTAAAAGGCGCTTTTCAAAGAAATGTCTGTTATCAAATGCTCATGATGCAGAAGATGAAGAATATGGATGGGACCTCATATAGGAGATTTATTGTTATGGGATTGTAATGCTTTACAAAAGCACAAAATAAAAATGAGGCATAGGATAGATTAAAAGAATATTTATGTTACTTTTTATTCACATGACTTTTGTTTATTTGTCACAATGGGTAAACTAATGGAATTTAAAGACAATATTGAGTCTGATTTCCCTCCAGAGAGCCAGATAGCTATAAGGTAATCACAAAGCAAGCATGACCTAGAACACATTTAACCAGATATATGGCTGCAGTTGACTTGAAATTCATTCACTAAATAAAAAAAAATTGGAAATGATTAACATGTAACAATGAAGTATTCAATTGTAGGTAGTATGAGAATTGACCCTGACGACATTGGCATAACATAAGTATATCTACAGGATTTGGACATTTTGTATGTGAAATATAACTATCATAATATGGTAAAAATAGCAGGATTAATAGACATGAAATTCAGATATATATAATTCCAGCTATCTTAAAGTATATGATATCTATATTTCACATATAGAACATCAAATGTTACATTGAAGATCCAGTCCTGTGGTATACTTCTCATGTTGCTACACCGTAGACTTATCATAAGTCCACAAAATAAATGAAAACTTAACCATCCGTAACCGTCCTGAACACATGCATATTTGATCCTTATCTTTTTTGAAATTTAGAGGTTTTCCCTTTAGCCGCCCTGTGCGACTTTCCAGTAGATCTTGGTATCACTATTTCATTACATCCCTACTATAAGCTCCATATCACAGATAGTTTGTCAAGGTATATTTCAAATGAAATTGCCCATGCTTTATCAAATCTTGTATTATTCTTTGTATCTCAGAATAATGATTCAATTGTAAGACTTATCTTCATTTCAGATGACATCATCAAATTGAACAGAAAAGAACAGAGAGGCAAAGGAAGAGGTCGTGGACGAGGAGCCAGAGGTGGACGCGGCCGGGGTGTATTAAGTGTCAGGGGCATGTCTGCTGGACGAGGAAGAGGTACCACTCGTGGTGGTAAAGTTTCCACTCGTGGTAGTAAAGTTTCCACTCGTGGTAATAGTCTTAAACGTGGTCAGTTGAAAAAGGCAAGAGGAGGTCAGACCACCTTCAAAGGCAGAGGACAAAACCAGTTTAAACAATTAAAAACAAATGCAAGTGGATTCCGTGGAAGAGGTCGAGGCCAGCAGGGTCAAAGGAGAGGTCGAGGAGGAAATTTAGCTGGAATCAGTCCTCTAAACAGGAGTGTATCAGTAAGTTTCTCACTCCAAACATCAATTACTGTTTAATATAATTACCAGGCTGGTATTAAGTTGTCCATTGACTAATATGTCCTGACTTTGATTTAGAATCAACTTGAAGATAAGGCCCAAATCAGTCTCTGTTTTCCAACCCGTTTCAGGTATTTCATTTCCAGCTCCATCGTTTTTAAGACATCATTCAGGAAACCCCAATTTTGGATTTTTATACACAATTTCTAAAAGTGTTGCAGCTAGATCATCATCATCTTCATGCATTGGCACAACGATGAACATGAAATTTGATAAGTGTACTAGTTCTCAAGCTAAAAATATCACAACTAAATATCTGAAATTAAAATAAAAGTTTTCAAGTTTTCCATTTGGTTACATTTTGGTAACGGTAATTTTTGGGAGATTTTTTTAAATGCAAGCCCAGAACTCTATTTGCAATATATTGATGAGTGTAAACACAAAACGATAAATCTGAGCAAGCCCACAGGAAAATCACAAGTCCAGGACTGAGATATATAAGTCCAAAAAATCGCAGGTAAAGTAAGTATAAATGTTTAGCAGATTGAAAAAAAATTAATTTGAGTATTTGGAAGGCCATGCATTGACAAAGAAAATAATTTCCATTAAGGAGGTGAACTGATAAGTAATCACATTGTGTACCTAATTTGGTCCCTTTCAATCTTTTCTATCTTCTGATGTGCATGTTGCATTTACAGGGTCAATATATCAATGTTGGTGTCCATGCATAGGTCATGGTGTATAGGTGGTAAGGTACACCTATACCATTCATATTTTAGCTAGTTCTCGGTAGTAGTTTTAGATAGAAAAGATATCAAATGTATTTAAAACCAAAATTTACAATAAAGGCATAAACACTTTTACAAATATATAATACTGACTTAAAGACACTGTTATTTTCTATTAACTAAAAAGTTTTCTATCAGAAATAAATTTTAGGTAACGATTTTTAGGAGGATAAATAATTGAAAAGTTCTCCGTTATGCTTATGAAAAATTAATTTACTTATTTTTTTTTTATATAAATCTCTGCTATAGGTGTTTTTCATGAATGTTACATTATAAACAGGATCTTGTAATGATAATATGTATTCTTTCAGGACCTACGACAGAATGTGACTGGTGGTGCAAAACAGGGAGTGAAACAGACCTTACAACAGCGTAGGACTAAAGCACTACAGGCATTGCAAAATGCCAAAGAAACATTAGCAAAAATACAGATGCAACAGAAAGCTTCCAGACAGAATACTGTAAACAATAGGAGAGGATTACAGGTACTACTAGGTGTACTAGATCTAAATTGCAGATTATTATATAATTTTGTATGACTGCTGTGCATGCATAGCCACACATGTAGTGGTCATTGGTCTTGTATTATCTCTAAATAATGGCTATGTGTTGTATATGCAGCAAATTTTATAGAATTTTATCTGATGAGTTCAAAGCACCATTTCCAAAATTTTGAAGAGCCCATTTACAAAGAGACAGATGATTATGATGGAGTCCCACAGGAAAATCATGAATCAAGGACTCAGATATGTGTTGATGTTGAAATTTGGATAATGAAAAACCTGGAATGTGATTGTTTAAACCGGAACTGGTAATTTTTGACCTCGAAATTGATGTTTTCAAAAACTCCTGGGGAAAAAAGCTTTTTTCTAATACCAGTGTTCCAGTGCCCTGTTTGCATTTTCAAAAACTAAATTGTGTCTTGCCCTCTTTCTGAGCACCCTGCCTTAAATTCTGAAACCCTAGGTACTCTTTCTTTCCATCCTGTAGATTTTTGGCCGATTAAGAAATTGCCAAAGTCTAGAAATTAACATCGGTATATCTACTAATAATGTAATTAACTAAGATTAAATGATTCAGGTATATTTATAGTGCATGGTTTTAACACTCTACCTGTGGTGGTTTGTGTTTCTGCTGAAGTTGTTAAACAGCCTGGTCTGTGTTGCCATGGTTTTGTCTCTGGGCAAGTGACTACTCTGATTGCTCCTGAAGCCCTGTGACTTGGTTTCTAACTCTTTTTTTAATGTTGTTGATGACAACTACAAGATGACCCTGTTTAAGAATGACTGTTGCTGTTAACCCTGCAGATTACAACGTTCAAAGTTTCCGTTTGTCATTAGATGTCTTTCTTTGCCCTTGCAGACTCAATATACTTCAACAGAATACAGAGGAAGGGGCAGAGGTCGTGGTCAGGGAACAACCCGAGGACGAGGTGCTAGGGGAAGAGGAGCCCGGGGGAGAGGACAGGTGTATATCAACCAAAACTTTGCATCTCAGGAACAATATGGGAGTACCACCTCCCTAGCATCACAAAGGCAACGCAAACGTAGACAGTATGTGTTGACCAATCCTTAAATAACTGATTAGATTTGTATGTAGTACATGTGTCATTCTAGATTAATAATGTTGCAATTTCTCTTTTAATGACCAATTGAATTTGTATTGAAGCACTAAAAATAATTAAAAAGTTGAAATGAAGAATTTTTTAGATAGTTTTGAAATATGTATAATTGAATTATAGCGACACATGGTTTCAGTTGACCTTTTCATTTGGCAATTTTAGATGTCCTAATCTGAAGGGTACTTCCTTGTCCAAATCATCAAGTCCATTGCCTGCATAATCGAAAGACTACATCATAATATTTACTCACTGATTTTTTTTCACCCATTTTGATGAAAAAGTTATTGAATATTATTATGAAAATCAAATTGCAGAATTACAGACAGCAAAATGTTTTATAAGATGCAAAGGTTAAGGTAGCATGGCAGAAATGTTGTTAATGATATGTTAAATAATATAAACTGTTTATGAGAAAATATCTCAGTTTTTTATGAAAAGCAGAATGTATTTTGATCTTTGATAAGAATGATAATCTGCACGCAATTTTGGGCCTTTTGTAGTGATCTACCACTTCTCTTGGTTATTTCTTAATCTTGAACCATCTGATATGATAGTGATATCTTGACTGTTGCAGGTGGCGACCATCAAATAACAACACTCAAGACAATATCCTCTTAGTACATGTAAATAACCAGAAACCCCTCCAGAGGTAAGAATATACACAAAGGATCTATCTCTGATAGCCATTTACTGCTGAAAGTCTCATTGTATGCATTATCTGGCATTTTTGTTAGATTCAAAACATCCACGTGATGAATATGCAAAGATAAGTCTTAAACATACTTAGTCTGACTGGAATTTATTAAGATAAACTTGATTGGGATATCAAAACAAATGAAAATTATCAAAATACAAAATGATATTATATAAAGTTCAGAAGGTAGATTCAGGTGTGAGGAATTCGAGGGGTCACTGTGTAGTCTGAATAGGAAGTATACATTGTTGTAGTAGATATCAATCTCTTACAAAAACATATGAAGAATTTCCTGACTTCACTTTGAAAACGATTGTAAATGGAGGCATGTGCACACCAAGTGAATTTCATCAACTTTCATATTAATACACCTTAACGTTATTTTGACCATATTGATATTAATTTATCATTATTACTCTTCAATATTTTTGTAAAGTTTTGTATACTGTGGCTTTCACAAGTTAACTAATTTCTTAAAAAGCATGTCTTTGATGTCAGTTTCACTAGAATACAAAGCATTTTACATAATTTCTCTAAAACCAAAGGGTAGACAGTACCATCTGAACTGGTATCTAGAAGTCATAATGCATCTGACTCTCGGTGTAAAGATAATAACAGAAATTTTTCACACGTTTTTTATGTTGCAAACTTTTTTAAAATGCTGGCAAATAGATTTGCTCTGGAATAACTAATGTTTTTTCAAAATAATTTATACAAACATATACAAATAAATTTGTGATAAATTTATTTTAGAAGTGACCATTTAGTTCCAAATTCCTATTCGTTTACAGTGATACTCTGTATTTCAAAATATTGCATAGACCTGACACTGTTTTGAAGAGTAGATTGTCTTGTTTTGTTTTTCAGATTGAAACAGCAACAACAGAAAAAACAGCCTACCTTTAGACAGCAAATTGTGGTATGTACTTCATCAGATTAATTACATTGTAGACAAAATATGTTAAAATAAAAACTTGCCCATTTTGAAAATATACATACTTTATGTAGTCCTTGACTAAAGATAAATTTCAAGGCTTTGTAAAAAAAAAATGATGCTGGAATTATATTTTAATTAATGTGGATATTGCAAATTGATGAGAACAAGAAAGATGTTGTTTAAAGCTCTATGCATATTATTGTAGTATGTTGCATGTGCCCAGGATGCATGACAAGCAATAATGATGGTTCCACTGTAATAGCTTGGACAACATATCAATGTAATATCTATTCAAGTCAGTCTAGTGTTTGTTGAAGGCAAATAAAGCAGACTAAGTGGTAGTTGATTGGTTTTGTGGCATTCGGTGTATAAGTTCCCTGTTCTGTACATGATACAGATTTGATAGTGAAGTATTTTCAGCATATCCTGTTTAATTATGTTACCCTAGGGTATGACATTGTCCGTCTGTGACCTTCTATATTCTTTGTGCAGGGGTCTCTGGCAACAGTTTCATACCATCTTTTGCAAACTTGAGAGGATTAATCACTTTGACATGAAGTATTATTTGTAGTTTCAGCTCCTTGATATTTCTTAATTTTAATCTCCTTCTAAGATCTCTGTCAGGTTTTGGTAATTCTGTAGATTTTTTGCTGTGATACATTAGTTCACAATATATTCTTTTGAATAATTTTCAGTGTTTTCATTTTATTCTAGAACCTTAAGCCATCCCAAAGCCAGTCATTTAACATGCAGAAAAAGATCTTTGCACAGAACTCTGTAAGTTGGAAGATATTTTACATGCAATGTTGTTTGTATTGGGAGTGGATTGGGAAGATTTTGAAATAAAGTTGTCAAATTCAGTTACATTTTTCACATTAATTCCACCACCAATGACATATGACAATTAATTTTCATTACTGGTTGTTCAAGTTGCTTTCATTCATGGTTTACCATCTGCCCATCAGATTGCAGGTAAGAATGGTACCTGCTTACCTGATTGCATGATGGTAAGAGGTGTCTAAACTTGGGTCTCATTATCTTTCTCTTTTTGTAAAGATTGTTCTTCTTGCTGGTATCTCCCGAGACTGTGCTTCATTTTTGGCCTTTATTGGGTGTTCATGTCACAACAGATTAACCCGTTGTCAACATAATGTAATGGGGTCTCCTGCTAAAGGAATGTTAGTATCATTCAGTATGGTTACACTATAAAGCCAGCTTCAGCTTTACATTATCATAAGGAGACTTACACAAAAATATTGCCATGTTCCAAACATACACACATCCAACACATACCCTGGGAGGTCATCCTTAAATGACCCTTGTTATTGATACAATGTGAATTGATATATCCTTAGTTAGTTTTTATCAGTTCTCACTCTAAAATTGATATCTTGTTTTGTCATGTTCAATTTTAAAAAGGATTTGGAACACAAAACAGCTGACAGTGGGCCCACTGTGACTTTGACAGCATACGTTTTTTTCTCAGAGAATCATGATAAGGTCTTCCAAAGTTCATATCTAAAAATTCATTTGGTTCTCAATTCAATAATGACTAATTACACGAACCAAATTGCTTCCAGGCAATTTGTACTCTCACTTTCAGATTATTTACAATTTGATTGTCCTTGCAACAAATAGTCATGAGGAAAAAGGAAGAAACAATTCAATAGGAACCATTAGCCTTGAAAAGTGATATTATACTGAACGCTTCTTTCTGAATTTGTGTTTAGAAATTATTTCAGAGCAGCAGATGGAGACCATGAAAAACATAATTTAGTGAAATTTACAACAGCTGTCATAATGGAATACTTAAGAGTTCCTTTTTGGGAGATCCATACAATTGGATTTAATTATTGGCTAGAAAATATGTTCAAATAAACACGCAAAATAACAGTTCAATAGAATGATAATACATTTTTGTACACATATAAATAAAAGACCTAAAAAGTTTTAGGTTGTTAACCAATATTTTTTCTGGCATAAATTTTGATACAGACCAACTGTATAGTTCATGGCATACAAATATATGCTGTCTGACGTAATTATCTCCCCTTTACTAGTCCTAACAACAAAATCAACATTAAAAAAGATTTGAGGGTCCCAGAGAAAAACCACGAGTGGTTGTATAAAGTAAAATCAAAGTAAGAGCAATGATACACTAGTGTGTTAACAATAGGTATATTAATTGATAATAAATTGTAATGTTATGTACAGTCGAGACCCGATAATCCGTGCTCCATTGGTCCGGAAATCTCGCAGTCCGGATGAGAATCGACGGGAACGTTATTTTGAGCTACTAATCCGGAAATCTGGATTCGCAATCCGGGCACAATTTCTGGGAACCAAACCCAGAAATATGGTCTTTTTTGAGTCAATAATCCGGACGGAGAAAATACAAAAGAAAATTTTTTTCAGAAAAAATAGACCGCTATTTCATCTTACCTGACTGATGGCATTGTCCGTCACACATGATTGTATATCGATTGTACCAAGCTGACCTCTGTCTAATGTCACCATAAAATGTTTGCACTGTTATTAAGTCGTCCTATTATAAACTGTTTTCCAGGGTGAATGAAATTAATAAAAGCGTTTGTTTTGAAATTGGCGTTTATCCTACTATACTACAAATTTTTGTTTTTACAGACTGGAGTAAGTCTATCTGATCGATTTGCTGGAGGATCCAAGAACTTTGCTGGACCAAGTGGTGATGGAAGAAAAGTTTTCTTTTAGGGTTTGATAATAAACACTTCAAGGCATTTCATAGACAATATGACAGTGTTTCATTGTGAATATGAAGGGAGTACAGTGGTAAAATAACAGCAACTCTGTATGAATATGAAGAGAGGAAATTGATGGAAGTAGTGTTTGTGTATGGCGTGTGTGAGTTCCAATTAAGTTTCATTTTAATATATTTATCATGTGTGTTTGAAATAAATATATCATTTTCCGTCTAAGTTTTGAAAAAAACATTTAACATAATTTTCAATTTTTGTTTGAAACTCTTGTACATCATTTATTTTTGTATTAGTGAAATTACAAGGTTTTTTGGGTCCTCAAGAAGTGGGTAACTTTTATAGACAATGCTCTGTTGGGCACCACTATCACAAAACTATTGATTCTTCAGAAATCTTAAGTACAAAGATGGCACTACCATGGTGGACAACAGCTAAATTGTGACACTTATCCTCAGAAAACTTCTGTTCAGTTACACAGCAGTATAGTCAGATGTGGTCATGTCAGCCAACAAGACATAATAAAAATATACAGCAGTTTACCGTAAAGGTTGTTAATTTCATAGGGTACTATGCTTTTCAATATTTGAGGTTTGAATTAAAACAAAATATGTAATCTGATTATAGAATTAACATGGTAAACAACCTGTGTAAAAAACATCATTTTATTGAAGATTTTGATAAAACTGCACAAATTTTCAAAAATCATAAATAAGCAGGCTCTTGCATGTTCTGGAATCGAAAGTTTGAAAATGATATTCATATAGTTTGTTATTGTTTTGTTGAAATATTTTGAGTTTTAAGATGTATTGATTGTAATGACTGCATTTTCTGTTATGGTTTACAGAATACTCATTGTCAATTTTTTCAGAGAATTGACATTTACACAGGACTTAAATACAATTCAACCACAGTGTATACCTATCATTACAAGGCCTAGGATACTTACAGATGAGTTCTAATATACCTATCAGGTTTGAGTCGATGGGTTTGGATACCGAGATACAACTTTGACTGACATTAATTACAAGACCTGGATCAGTGGTGTGTAGTATGTTCCTGCACCAAATAAATAACAAATCTTTTTTTCATAGCATAACAACCATATTATTTTTAACATTAATAAATTATCTTTATTTCCACTATCTGTTTAACCCTGGGGTAGACATATTTCTACTCTGCCAATGGTGTAACTGCAGGGCTTTTTCAACTCATTTTAGAATTGGCTTTTTAATCTAAATTAGAAGTTGGGGGAAGGTTGTGCTATCAATTTGGAAGAAAGTTTCAATGAATAAACTATATATTTTTGGAATTTGATGGTCGTATGAAATAAAGCCCTTTGGTAATTGGGTCCATATTTGGTCCAACAGTGCCCCCAGAAAAAGCCTTGAAGTGCCTTTCCCTCTTTTATTTGAAATTATCCTAAAGGTTTAAAATTGGATATCAAATAACGAGATTATCACAAGTGACAGACTACAGTTTTGTTCATCATCATAATTCATGTAATATTAATGATTGCTTTACATCATATTTATGATTTTATAACAATTAACACATGTTTTGAATAAAAAGATAAACAAATAGTTTGAGCCAAAGTTAATTCAGAGTGAGTTTGTTGATTATTTTGGCGCTGTGATTAGGTGTGAAACAGAAAAGTATGCAGGGCAATGAAATAAAATATCAAAATTAATCCAGGCAAGTTTCAGGTAATTGAAACTTGATTTGATGAAGTAAAAATGTGTAATACAAATTACCATTGCTAAGATTTGCATTCATGAAAGTAAAGATATTTTTTTTATCTTTACTTTCATAAGTGCAAATCTTTATTTTGGTATTCTAAAGCTAACATACGAGGGCTGATTGATAAGTTTTTTGAGGGTTTGATTTTTTTTACATAAACTGACTACATGACTGTAGTCTTTGGGTACACAGACTTAATTAGTCAGAGAATAGAAGCAGTGAAATGCTTAGCTTCTTTAATACAAGACTCCCACCTTATCAATCAGCCCTTGTATGAAACAGGAACTGAACAAAACATCTTAAGGATTGTGACACAAGAATGAATTATGATGTGTTATTAAAAATTGATAACTGAGTAGTCATTTACTGAGTACGCTGTCTTAAATAGAATGAAATATGTAATAAATCTTCAGCTTGAGTTTGAGTTTCCCATTAGTTATAGCCAAAAGAACATCATTTCTTTCTATAACAGTTAACTTAAGAAGAATTTTATGTTTTAAAGGAAAGTGTCAAGCTACTTTATTACTTTGATACTCATATGAAACAATATAACATGAAATGATAGAATAAAACTTTGGAATTCAGATGACTGATGATAAGAGTCTTGAATTTATAAATTGTTTCCTTCTCCAACAGGTGGAGAAATGCTGTCGGTGATATTGGTTGATATAGATATCAACCAATTTATGATGAATTATGTTAAATCTAAAAATAATTATTTTTAGTGAAATCAGTTTGTTAGATAATCTTTCAAAAAACTGACTTGCTGCTTATTTTGTCCTGAAATTATTTATGGAATGAGTTGTCTTTTCTTCTGTTTTTTTTTTTTTTAAATCCACTATCATCTGATGATGATCTTTTCATATTGCCCTTCATAGGTGGTCTATCTAGAAGAGCAATAAACTGGATAGATAATTTTCAAATTTCATATGTAGGTTCTCCTGGGTCCCTAGTTGGGCATTTCTTATTTTGGGACTGATCTGAAAAACAAAATGGTGGATTGGCAGTCATCTGGGATTTTGACAATCCGTGTAAAAGATTGTTGTTGCTAATTTTATGAGAAGTACTGGATGCATTTTTCTCAAATTTCATCGTTAGAAAACAAAGTAAAGATCAAAGAACGGTTGGCACCAAGATTCCCTGGGAAATCTTGTATTATTTATAGTAAATGATTGATTACTAAATTTTCAGTTTGATGAAAACATATTTTAAGTACTTTTTACTACAGACTAAAACAGTTTGTACATCTTAGTATCAGTTACCTCTTTTACAGGATATGTGAGCGTAGTGAAGGTATAGTGTAGGATGATTGTGTATTTTACAGAAGAGTGTATAATGATACTAGTATATCCTTTGTTTTAGTCTCATACCCATTAGATTCATATCATAAATGATTAATTTGTTAAACAGTGTTTGTGTTTTGTTTTTAGCCCAACTGACCCAGTGAGCTTATGTCGTACTGCAGAAGTCTGTCGTCCATCAGGCGTTTCTACAAATCACTACTAGTCAGAACCATCTGAGCATTCATGGAAAAAAATAGGGTTCTTACCCCCCTGGGATCAATAGGGAAAATAGATCAAATGCTGTGATACCTTGTTCCTCCTGTAAAAATCATGGGAGTTTTGTCAAATATGCATTCTTAGGAGCAAGAGAATCAATTTTGTTCGAAGGGTGGGTCTTGGCCCATGGGACCGGAGGGGTGGGGCCCAATAGGGAAAATAGAACAAATTCTTTAAAATCCTTCTGCTCCATTAGGAATGATTGGATTTTGACCAAATTTAGTCTGAGGCATTGTTTGGTGCAGGGTAATCAATGACCCCTGGGGTCAGATGGGTGGGGACAAAATGGAAAATAGTGTATATTCTTCAAAATGATTGGAATTTGCGCATATTTGGTCTGAAGCATTGTTAGGTTGAGAGGTATAACAGTAAATCTTGGCTCCCTGGGACGTAAGGGGCAGGACCCAATTTGAGGAATAGAACGAACTCTTTGAAATCCAAACCCTTAGTTGTTCTTAAGCATTCCTTGGTGCAGGGAAATTGCATATGTATAGTCCTGGTCCCTTGGGGATGGGAGGATGGAGCTCAATAGATGAAATAGAACAAGTTTTGTTTAATGGCATTTATGGGACTAGGGCAGAAATTGTATTGGGTTTTGGGTCATCTTGCCCGAAGTGATCATGAGATTGTCTTTTTATTATGTGTAAATTTTCAAATCCAAATGTGGCTGCCACACATGAATAAGTCAAAAATTTGATATGCCTCAATGGCACCTGTTCCAGAACTAGAAAAGAAGGTTAGTGTGCTAAACGCCATCTTGGAATTCTTTAGCAACGGATATTCAAGTTGGCGCGCTTAGCAACCCCATAAAACTATGGCCCCTCAGAATCTCGGTGTGTAACGGCATCACTAACCGAGTTATCGCCCCTGTCACTAATCATCTCCGCTGCTTGCTGTATTTCAGGTACACCATTTAACTGACGGGTTGGTTTTGACAACGTCGTTAACGTTTTTAGCTATAGTAAAGTACGTAATTCGACTGACGGATTGGTTTTAATGACGTCATTGATGTATTTGGCTATGTAAGAGGGGATGATTACCGTGTTTTGATTTTTATGCCCCCGGCCATAGGGGGGCATATAGCGTTGCCCATGTCCGTCCGTCCCGTCCCGTCGCGTCCCAAATCAGTATATACCACCTAACAACTTCATTCGGAAGGCAATTTTCATGAAACTTCATACAAATATCAAGTATGGAAAGACCTCATGCAGTGTTGAATTTCTCGGCGTTCTAAAAAAAAGATGGCCACCAGGGGGAGATAACTCAAAAAAGAGGAACATCATCTTATTTCTACATTCATGTCTTACAGACATTTTCTAGTTTTTTTAAAGATATATCTTTAATATTTTTACAATGGATTGGTTTCAATAAATAATATTGACAATGAATATAGTACAGGCAACATGTTTGTTGAATTCTAACGTTATTGAGAAGTTTTACATAGTATACCTGTTATTGTAACTCAGAATTTAATTTCAACTTGAATATAAACAAAGCTAACTATAAGACAACGTTTGTCGCTGGCTTACTAGAACAGGAAACAGACTGATATGATATGTTTTATTTCGGAAGATTGCGACATTAAATCATACTTGCATTGAGTCAGCAGTTCATGTAAATTAAAGATTGTATTTCGCTATCTTTCTCAACCTCTCAAGTTCTGTCTTTAACAATTATGTGCATTGGTGCCTGCTCATGTCCGCGCAGACACTTGAAGGTCCCAATTTACACATTTAACCCAGCTCTTATCTAACAATTATGTCCTTAAACTAACGAGATGCTTTTTATATTAATATCTAATGGCGTAGGCGAATTCTATGGCGTTATAGCGATGTGATGAATCATGCATGCATTGCATATAAGTACAAATAGCTACAAATATTAATACAAAGAACTTTGAAACGACGGCAAATAGTAAAATCAGTTATATGTATTAAATTAGAGACTTAAAGTACTTGTTAATGAGTCCAAACGACGATTTAATTATAAAACCATTATATTGCAGAAATTACAATCTGAAAAATTAAATTTGTTTTTAAGCAACGTTATATCACAAATCCTCAGGCAACGTCATATTATAAAACCTCACTGGATGTGAACTGTAAACATTTGATATGCTAGCCTCCTAGTCCAGTGTTAATCTAGACTGAATTCACATAAGAGTTGATATGACGCTATAATGGTGTTGTGTTGATCTACGTTACGTCAAAGTTTTGCACGTCGATTCAGACAGCACATCCTTAGCTTTGTAAAGAATTATATTTATTGGAAGCTCTTCAGGTAAATAAACACTCAGGGAAAAGCTTGATAATGTTAAGAAACAGACAAATTGTTGATGAAATTTAGTTTATAAACAATAATATATTCACCTGTGCTTGTATGAAAATGATAAGACTATCCGAACTGTTCTGATGTTGATATCGTTTTACCGACTTTAATATAGCGATTTGAGTCGACCAATTATAAGTAGGACTAGATAGAACTATTTCATTTTCTTAAGTACAACGTAACTACGCAAAAAAAGTACCTTTTGAATGTTAACAATAAGAGGATACATCCACTTAAAAGTTTAAAGGTCTTCGTTCTAGTTTTCTCCAGCTTAGAGCCAGCATCCTATCATGTATATACAGGACATCTGGAAGGAGTGTTGTATAAGGCAACCAAACTTGACACTTATCCATCAGAGTGAAATGTATGAAATATCTCACAATGTATCAGATCGTACGATAATACACGTGTTATTGTAAGTTAAAGTGTTATTTGATATAGAAAGCCAAGAAAGATGATTAGCATATGAAAATCACATAAATCTGTACATCGGTATCTCGTAGAAGGTTTCTTATATAACATTTTATTGATGTCTGTAAAAGGTATACATTTTATCACATAAAACAGCCAAATACCCCGCCAATTCGCCGTTGTAATCTTTACCGTGGATCGTATTTCATTGGGTTTTTTTTTTTTTTTTGTTTTTTTTCCCGAAACTTTTTTTTCGGGTTGGTAATGTCAATAAAATATAATTTCTTATAACACAACCAGTAGAAGATTAGAGTGTGACGTTTCGATGACTACACGGTCACCTTCATCAGACAAATAATCAGTGTGGAGCGTACTAGCACTGACGAGCGCAGTGTACGAAATGTCAAGGAATCGACCAACTTTTTAGGTTGTTTTATAATTTTATGCACACACCTATAACCAATTGTTAAACAAAACAAAATCAATCTGAATACAGGATATGGTGTATATTTTGGTCTATAATATGTTAACCATATCGTCACAATATTTTCACCTTAGTGTACTTAAGAGTATGGATCAGATTCTACCAGATGAAACCGATATTTTGTAGCTAATGAAAGAGAAGGATTGGCAGCTTTGTATTTGTACATTGTTGGTGTGTACATATAAGACCATAGTTTCACTATAAATCATCATTCCCTAATCAAAAATGAACATCATTGGATTATTATTCCTGTTGATGTCAACTTTTCTTATTTCGGTATCACAACAACAAGCATTGTTTACCGAAACACAACAACAACAACTCGAGGACAACCAGATAGAGCAAATACTATCACAGAAGCTTTGGTCTCTAGTTGACGAGTATGCAACTAACGTATTTAACGAGGCCGTAGTGGAGCTGCAACGAAATGTTCGATCTGAGCTGGATCAACTCTCGGAGAAAATCGGCGAACTAGGCAACGAGGGAGTACAAATTGGGAAGACCTTAAAAAACATGACAATGGGTAAGAGCAATTATTTTAAAGAAAAAGTATCGAACACAAACATTGGTTTTAATTATGGATTGAATCATATCATGTTGAGGTTCATTCCCCTTATAAACCTCGAAATAACATGATTAAATCCTTATATTTATATATTTTGTATACTTTAAAAATTCCTACAAGATTTGGATGAATAGGAACTTGTGCAAGTCTACCACGGAACTTACCGAAATGTACGTCCTCCCTCTTCGTCTAAATATAGTTGTTATATTCAGAATGATAACACAAAAAAAACAAGATTGTATCGTTTTAAGCAAAATCATTTAAAATGAATTTTATAAAATAAAATAGTATCGACTTAGCGAACGAATAAAATATAGAGTTCGATACGCCGCGGAGCAATTTCAGGTTAATAACGATAAAAAGGTGTGGACAATGTATTCATACGCCAACTTAAAGAGTACATTGAAAAATGACTTGAGTAAACTTAAGTTGGTTCATAGAGTTCAGGTTAAGTGGAAATATAAATATGATTTAATGATTTGTCCACTGCAATTGTAACAATTTTTTTTAACACAATCTATACAACAGGCAAGCTACACAGCACCAAGTCTATACAACAGCCAAGCTACACAACACCCAGTCTATACAACAGCCAAGTGACACCACACCCAGTCTATACACCAGCCACGCTACACGACATCCAGTCTATCTAACAGTCAAGCTCCACAACACCCAGTCTATACGACAGCCAAGCTACACAACACCTAGTCTATACAACAGTCAAGCTTCACCACACCCATTCTATACAACAGTCAAGCTTCATCACACCCATTCTATACAACAGCCAACTCGTAAAGTGCATACAACAGCCAAGTTAGACCACAGCCAATCTGTACAACAGCCAAGCTACACTCCATACAATCCATATCGCAGTCAATCTACACAATATTCAGGATAATTAACATTTTCGTTTCCTTACTCTTTTAAAAGTTTAATATAAGCCTGCTTTTCAGTCGATTCTTCTGATATGAACACTCCATTTGAGGTCGTTTGATGTTGGGTATCATAGGTATTGGTTGTTTTGCACGTCACCACTTTTTACTAGGTACTGTGAATAACGCGTGGTATTTGTTTTCGCGTTAATACGTGAGACGAACCGCTAAATCAACTTCTGATTTCTTGCGATTACTACGAATATTTCGACCACATCCTTGTTATTCTGTCGTTAATTTAATTTTATTTCCGTTTACACTTTCGTTAAATTTATATACACCGTGTCACATCATCACAAAGACAGCTGTAGAACATCACAGTTATAGGTCGGAGGTGTGTGCCACAATAGATTTACCTCTAAATCAACCATGCTTTTTTTGCGTTGAAAAGGTGCAAACATATTTACAATATTAGAGTTTATAACAAACATATCTATTTCATTTAATTATAAAATAAACAGTAGGAACACAGTCAAGAGCATATCCGCTTTGACGACTACAGTGTCATTAGTACAACGTGTTACAAAGCGTAACATTACACACAATACGTTTGGCCTCTTTAAATCTTGCTCACTTCACTCTTCAAACACAATGCATGTGGTGTTTGTTAACGCTCGTTTGCTCTGTCTACATAACAGGCTGTACTCGGGTAAATACAATTTAGTATGGACACAATATATATCATATGACTAAATCACTTTTCAGATATAGTCACATGACTTTCATAAGCAAAATGACGGCCAATACGAAGCTATCGGTCGCTTATATAGAAACTTCTCAGTGTCCATATCTTTAATGGTTTATAATTTGCGAATTCAATCATTACTAAATCAACCGTCGCGAAATCATAAATTCGCGAAAATGTCTGCAGAGATCCCACTTCCCCTCTAATAGCACGATGCTCATTTTTCAAGATTTTGTCGATCATTTTTGAAGGATGTTATGATTGAATGTTTTGATTTGATGATCTGAAAAGGAGAAGGTTGTCAGCTGAAAAGTGTGTTTGTTTATGTGTGAGAAGATGAGTAACAGTTCTAATGGCAACCACTGAGGCACTACGGAAGCGACACGGTCCTCCTGTGACATAGTACATTCAATTTAGCCTATGTTAGAAATTAATTTAACCAATTGTGTATTGGCCCTTTCACACCGTATTGCACAACCTTATGCAAGACTTTGTTTTGTGGTGCAGTGTCGAACGCTTTGGAGAGAAGTCCAGTAATGCTATGTAAATCTGACTTGAGGAAGTCTTACATGGTCAAGAGTAGCTTTCATTAACTTACTTAAGTAACCAGATATTCTATGGAATCGTTTATAACTTGGACTTTAAGGCATTCTAGGTGTTTGAAGATCTGTTGACAGATGGTGCATTTTGTGAGTTTGCAGGGTACACATGTTGGTGATATAGGTTGATAGCTTTCTGTAATGTGTTTGCCATCCTTTTCAAATATACAAACTATTTTGAAATTCTCAAGTCGGTTGACAATGTTAAGAAACATTTCTGTAAGTCCAGGCATTCTTCGGGGATTTTCTTTAGTATCACATATGGTGCAGGTACGTTTGATTTACGTAGCTTGTGACAACGATTGTATTTATTTGGAGGCACAGAATAGTTTCCGGTACACTTCGTGTTGTCTTCACTGATGATGAAGCCGTTATAGGACCATTTTTACCGTATTTGTTTGACTACAATATCTAACTCCCCCAATATACTTCACACCCAATCTTTATCTATAATATAATTGGTACAAAACAAATGGGCCTTTATCCACTGAATTCACTTCTTTTGAATATATTGTGTGTTCATTTCAACAAATTTTATTAACAGTAACTTTTATACGTTAAAAGGATCGAATATCAGGTTTGGTCTATACAAACTTAGTAAATGAATACAATACAAAATCTGCATTACATTAAATAAGTTAAAGTAGATAAGGGGAGGAAACTCCAATTTATTGTAGCATATTAAGTACTTATCGAATTAATATAGTATGTTTTGAACATTTTATTATAATTATTAAATATTCATACAATTTGCTGATAATTTATCATACACGAATCTTGTGAACAGGTTTTAAATATATATCATTTACATTTATATATTGTGTTATATACATTAGATATTATGGCGCTTGGGCTCATGGAATGGCGAAACAAGCTGGCTGCCTCCGTTTGGTATTGTCCTCCACGTTTTGTCAACATGTAACTTTCCAGAGTTATGTGATATAAAATAGATTTGTTTTTTTGTTTTTTTTGTTTTTTTGTTTTTTTGTTTTTTGTTTTAGTTTTTTTAGGTAAAGTTTTTTTTGTTCGGAAAGGCACTTAAAGTCTTATATAAAAAGAATCGAAAATTATTCATATGTTGTATATGTGTATCAAATGCAATAATTCGCTATGCTTATCGGTACAAGTTGTTACAACAACCTCATGATAGCCTATTTAAGTTTCTCTAAATTGAACAAATATCATTGTCTTAAACGTAGCCAAAACATTTTTGTTTAAATGCATCTTACAAAACTTGCTTAAATACTTAGATATCGGAAGACTCTCGTGTCCAGATTCAACAGAAGGGAGATATATATTATTCGGCGAGCAATGCTTTATGTTCAGAGATGAGAGTAAGACCTGGACTCAAGCCAAGGTAGGTCCATATTCCATTATCATAGATAACTGGAAGAGATTGTCAGAAATTGCCAGTTATTCATTTGTTTGTTATGCAAAGTTATTTGCACTTGTGGGCGGGTATTGGCTGTTGCGGCGTTTGTTAGTGAGAGTAACATTAAAAAATGTTTGAGAAAATGAAGTAATTTTATCATCCAAAGTAATGACGTAATAATCAGTAACTGCCCGTTAGAGCTGATAATTCGGCATTACCAAACGACGGAATAAATTAGGTTCCCTTGCTGTTTTGATAGAGACCAAGCTACAGTAGGGTCATAATAGTTCAACATTAATTACTTGGACCCAACAAGACACAGTCCAACACTTTTAGATGAGTTTTATTATGTTTGTTTGAGGAATTCAAACTATAATACAGAGAAAAAATGTTATCATTGTGTTTTGATTAAGAAAGTGATCGCTTTTCAAACGAAATGATAAAGCTAGGCCTGAATATGATATAGTTTCGTCGAAGTGTGAAAACTATTCGTCAGTGACGACTTTTGCAGGATTGGTGCAAGACGATAAGTGCACACTTTGCCAGACCTACAACAGTGGCTATCAACAACTTCATGAAACGTGAATGTGAAATTAGAGGTGAGTTATTTCATAATATTTTACCCATTAATGTCGCTAATATATCAATAAAAGTAAATTTATGATAAAAACGACGTACTTTTCTAAGCCAAACATAACTGACGTAACAATCTGCTCACAAGAGTAGACAACTCATCATCATGAAAAGACGGACAGTGTTGCGGATGTCCTCTCTCGTTCCCTTTGAAATCAATGTTATTTTTCTAGCAACTCCCTTTCCAAGAGATATCAGGGACTCCGTATGCTTGGATCGACTATGACAAAGCAACAACTGAGTTTGTGATTCAGGCTTCAATAATTAATGTTACTATTACAACTCAGAGGGATGTTACCTATTTATATTTACGTTTATGAGACTAGGGACATCCATGTCTTCCATGCATTGTCTTGTTTCGCTATACAAACATAATGTGAATTATGAAATCATAAACTGAACCATTTAAATATGAAAGAGTGTAACTAGCAAATCAGCCATTAACGCTGTGGTTCTTTCATTTCAATGTACGTTTTTCTTTCAACATTTTAATTCCTACTCAATTTAGACTCAAATAATGAGATTAGCTCCAGATTTGAAGAATATGAAATGATAAAGATAAATGAGGATAATATGTATAACGATTATCAAATAAATCGAAATGAGACATTTTCTAGCACAACAAATATGTCTTCCATGTTTTGACATCAACAAATATGTCTGCTTCAAAATTGCAAGCAGTTTCGAAATGAAAATCTCAAACAAGACCAAGAATCCACTAAACGATTCTGATACAGAAAAGCTTGTTGATGCCATGGATACATACTAAGAAAAGGCACAGCACACTCTAAGACAATTTGAAGAACGGCTGCTGCTTAATTTGAAGCGAAGTACAAGACGACCGCAGAACTCAGTGTAGACGTAGTAATCGTATATTACCTGAGTAATATAAAAACACCCTTCACTGCTGGGATACACATTTTAATTCAATCCATTAGACTAGCATGAATTATATAAACAGCAGTGTTGGATTAGTTTGAAATAATGAAAACAAACCGTCTTCATTGAAAAACGTGTATAAGCATTGCATTTTGCTTTAATCTATTGCATTGGTTGTTGGATTGGGTTGCTCTAAAGACAAATTAATCATTGTTGAATTTTTTTAAACTCGATTGTTCATCCCATGAAATCAACCAAAGCAAGATTCAATGTATAAGGAAAGAGTTAGGTAGTTCAATCAAGTAAATGTTATAGGGAAAGAGTTTGGTAGTCCAATCAAGTGAATGTTATAGGGAAAGAGTTTGGTAGTCCAATCAAGTGAACGTTATAGGGAAAGAGTTTGGTAGTCCAATCAAGTGAACGTTATAGGGAAAGAGTTTGGTAGTCCAATCAAGTGAATGTTATAGGGAAAGAGTTTGGTAGTCCAATCAAGTGAACGTTATAGGGAAAGAGTTAGGTAGTTCAATCAAGTTAATGTTACAACGAAAGAGTTTGGTAGTCCAATCAAGTGAATGTTATAGGGAAAGAGTTTGGTAGTCCAATCAAGTGAACGTTATAGGGAAAGAGTTTGGTAGTCCAATCAAGTGAACGTTATAGGGAAAGAGTTTGGTAGTCCAATCAAGTGAATGTTATAGGAAAGAGTTTGTTATAGGGAAAGAGTTTGGTAGTCAATCAAGTGAATGTTATAGGGAAAGAGTTTGGTAGTTCAATCAAGTGAACGTTATAGGGAAAGAGTTTGGTAGTTCAATCAAGTGAACGTTATAGGGAAAGAGTTTGGTAGTCCAATCAAGTGAACGTTATAGGGAAAGAGTTTGGTAGTTCAATCAAGTGAACGTTATAGGGAAAGAGTTTGGTAGTCCAATCAAGTGAACGTTATAGGGAAAGAGTTTGGTAGTCCAATCAAGTGAATGTTATAGGGAAAGAGTTTGGTAGTTCAATCAAGTGAACGTTATAGTGAAAGAGTTTGGTAGCTCAATCAAGTGAACGTTATATGGAAGGAGTTTGGTAGTCCAATCAAGTGAACGTTATAGGGAAAGAGTTTGGTAGTTCAATCAAGCAAGTGAACGTTATAGGGAAAGAGTTTGGTAGTCCAATCAAGTGAACGTTATAGGGAAAGAGTTTGGTAGTTCAATCAAGTGAACGTTATCGGGAAAGATGTGTGTAGTCCAATCAAGTCAATGTTTTAGGGAAAGAGTTTGGTAGTCCAATCAAGTGAACGTTATAGGGAAAGAGTTTGGTAGTTCAATCAAGTGAACGTTATAGGGAAAGAGTTTGGTAGTCCAATCAAGTGAATGTTATAGGGAAAGAGTTTGGTAGTCCAATCAAGTGAACGTTATAGGGAAAGAGTTTGGTAGTCCAATCAAGTGAATGTTATAGGGAAAGAGTTTGGTAGTCCAATCAAGTGAACGTTATAGGGAAAGAGTTTGGTAGTCCAATCAAGTGAACGTTATAGGGAAAGAGTTTGGTAGTCCAATCAAGTGAACGTTATAGGGAAAGAGTTTGGTAGTCCAATCAAGTGAACGTTATAGGGAAAGAGTTTGGTAGTCCAATCAAGTGAACGTTATAGGGAAAGAGTTTGGTAGTCCAATCAAGTGAACGTTATAGGGAAAGAGTTTGGTAGTTCAATCAAGTGAATAGGGAAAGAGTTTGGTAGTTATCAAGTGAGGGAAAGAGTTTAGGTAGTTCAATCAATCAAGTGAACGTTATAGGGAAAGAGTTTGGTAGTTCAATCAAGTGAACGTTATAGGGAAAGAGTTTGGTAGTCCAATCAAGTGAACGTTATAGGGAAAGAGTTTGGTAGTTCAATCAAGTGAATGTTATAGGGAAAGAGTTTGGTAGTCCAATCAAGTCAATGTTATAGGGAAAGAGTTTGGTAGTCCAATCAAGTGAATGTTATAGGGAAAGAGTTTGGTAGTTCAATCAAGTGAATGTTATAGGGAAAGAGTTTGGTAGTTCAATCAAGTGAACGTTATAGGGAAAGAGTTTGGTAGTCCAATCAAGTCAATGTTATAAGGAAAGAGTTTGGTAGTCCAATCAAGTGAATGTTATAGGGAAAGAGTTTGGTAGTCCAATCAAGTGAATGTATAGGAAGAGTTTGGTTATTCAATCAAGTGAACGTTATAGGGAAAGAGTTTGGTAGTCCAATCAAGTGAACGTTATAGGGAAAGAGTTTGGTAGTCCAATCAAGTGAACGTTATAGGGAAAGAGTTTGGTAGTCCAATCAAGTGAACGTTATAGGGAAAGAGTTTGGTAGTCCAATCAAGTGAACGTTATAGGGAAAGAGTTTGGTAGTTCAATCAAGTGAACGTTATAGGGAAAGAGTTTGGTAGTTCAATCAAGTGAACGTTATAGGGAAAGAGTTTGGTAGTTCAATCAAGTGAACGTTATAGGGAAAGAGTTTGGTAGTCCAATCAAGTGAACGTTATAGGGAAAGAGTTTGGTAGTCCAATCAAGTGAATGTTATAGGGAAAGAGTTTGGTAGTCCAATCAAGTGAACGTTATAGGGAAAGAGTTTGGTAGTCCAATCAAGTGAACGTTATAGGGAAAGAGTTTGGTAGTTCAATCAACTGAATGTTATAGGGAAAGAGTTTGGTAGTTCAATCAAGTGAACGTTATAGGGAAAGAGTTTGGTAGTTCAATCAAGTCAATGTTACAACGAAAGAGTTTGGTAGTCCAATGAAGTGAACGTTATAGGGAAAGAGTTTGGTAGTTCAATCAAGTGAACGTTATAGGGAAAGAGTTTGGTAGTCCAATCAAGTGAATGTTATAGGGAAAGAGTTTGGTAGTCCAATCAAGTGAACGTTATAGGGAAAGAGTTTGGTAGTTCAATCAAGTGAATGTTATAGGGAAAGAGTTTGGTAGTCCAATCAAGTGAATGTTATAGGGAAAGAGTTTGGTAGTTCAATCAAGTGAACGTTATAGGGAAAGAGTTTGGTAGTCCAATCAAGTGAACGTTATAGGGAAAGAGTTTGGTAGTCCAATCAAGTGAACGTTATAGGGAAAGAGTTTGGTAGTTCAATCAAGTGAATGTTATAGGGAAAGAGTTTGGTAGTCCAATCAAGTGAATGTTATAGGGAAAGAGTTTGGTAGTCCAATCAAGTGAACGTTATAGTGAAAGAGTTTGGTAGTTCAATCAAGTCAATGTTACAACGAAAGAGTTTGGTAGTCCAATCAAGTGAATGTTATAGGGAAAGAGTTTGGTAGTCCAATCAAGTGAACGTTATAGGGAAAGAGTTTGGTAGTTCAATCAAGTGAACGTTATAGGGAAAGAGTTTGGTAGTCCAATCAAGTGAACGTTATAGGGAAAGAGTTTGGTAGTCCAATCAAGAGAACGTTATAGGGAAAGAGTTTGGTAGTCCAATCAAGTGAATGTTATAGGGAAAGAGTTTGGTAGTTCAATCAACTGAATGTTATAGGGAAAGAGTTTGGTTATAGGGAAAGAGTTTGGTAGTCCAATCAAGTGAACGTTATAGGGAAAGAGTTTGGTAGTCAATCAAGTCAAGTTTGGTAGTCCAATCAAGTGAACGTTATAGGGAAAGAGTTTGGTAGTTCAATCAAGTGAATGTTATAGGGAAAGAGTTTGGTAGTCCAATCAAGTGAATGTTATAGGGAAAGAGTTTGGTAGTCCAATCAAGTGAACGTTATAGGGAAAGAGTTTGGTAGTTCAATCAAGTGAATGTTATAGGGAAAGAGTTTGGTAGTCCAATCAAGTGAATGTTATAGGGAAAGAGTTTGGTAGTCCAATCAAGTGAACGTTATAGTGAAAGAGTTTGGTAGTTCAATCAAGTCAATGTTACAACGAAAGAGTTTGGTAGTCCAATCAAGTGAATGTTATAGGGAAAGAATTTAGTAGTCCAATCAAATGAATGTTATAGGTAAAGAGTTTGGTAGTTCAATAAAGTCAATGTTATTTTATCATAAAGGAAGCGCATATTGGGTAGGAGCTCACGACACAGAACAGGAAGGAACATGGGAATGGGATGATGGCGTTCCTCTTGGAAAAGATGTTTGGGACTGGGCACCTGGGGAACCGAATAATTATGGCTCCGGACAGGATTGTATGGGCATATGTCATGGTAGTCGTAACAATTGGGACGACAAAAAATGTACCATAGAAATTGGATTTATTTGTCAAACAGCAGCAGTAAGTAATCAGGTTACATGGTACGTTTTGCATCTAATGAACTTATATAAATGTTAGGCTTATTTATATACGATATCACGAGACCTTTTTATCTATATTTCCCCGAGGCTTATTCATTTACGATCGCACGAGACCTTATGACTTATATTATCGCGTGGCTTATTTACAATATCTAAAGACTTGATAATTAATACATTTGTATTTTCGTGAGGTGTATTCATTTCGATATCATGATAATTGTGCTACTGTATAATAATTTTCAAGTTACTTGTACATCTTTACTATGTACATATTAGAGACTTTGGAACTCTTCTGCTTTTCCTAGCTATTATGCTCGACGTATGGAACCATTGACAATCTTGTATAATGAATAGACTAATACAAAAAATATGTAACTTCTTTATAAAACAGAAAAAATTAGGAAGTTCGATAATTTTTTAAATTGTATTTAAATCTTTTAAATTACAGGTTATGCGCCTCTGAAGATAGGCCTTCCAAAGAATATGTGATGTTTCCATCCGCCCAACAACACGCACTCAGTGGTATATCGGTGGTATCTATTAGCACAACGTATGCTGTTGAAATCTCGGGCACGTTCTCAGAATAAAACTATGAACAGTTTACCAAGATCATTCATTTTAATATCGATGTCATTAAATATGCATGTTTTGTTTATAAAATTGTGGGTTGTTGCTTTACAGTGTTGTTCATTCTTAAAAGTTGATTTAATCGAGTCTTTTACTGGAGAAAAATAGGATTACGTGGTAAGATTTTATAGGATTCTGAGGCCAAAACCTTATTTTGTTATCAATTAAACACACATGTGATATTCATTACGATAATAAGACGTTCAAAATTAACACGCTTTTTCGGATTAAAATGGCATTGCGTGAAACGGAACCAAACTCAAAACTCACTTCAATTAATTCAAAAGATTTTATTTTACGATTGTAGTAAATACAAATGATACAAGAATAAATAAATTCTATTTGAATCTTTGAGAGAAACAATGCACAAGGATTTCACATAATATAAATGTAACGCTGAATAACATATACTGCGTTAAAATTAAGTTAAATTTCTGATATGTTTACCTAAGAATCTTTTGGAACAATTGTAAATGACTCGGATAAATAACAATTAATACTCATTATAAATTCATTACATTAATTGCATCCTGAAATAAATTAGATATCACCAGTAATTTTCTGACTCCATCCATAATAGTGTTTGTAATGGAAATGAATTAAAGCACATTTATTGTCTAACAGCCAAGCGTTATTTATTTTGCTCCGATTGGTATTGTAGCTATGTCGTTAGAGCTGGTTACATACATGTTGAAATAATCAATGCGTAAATCTTAGCAAACGATTTTTGTAACCACCGAAATCTGATGTTCAATTCCCTAGAGTACGTTCCACCCCACATGATTATCCTTTACAATTGCTTTCACGTGGCTTCATTACCAATTTATGGATAAACATGTTATGCATATTGTTTCTCTGTCATTAGAATTCCCGCGTACATTACAGGACTATATTGCCCCTTTTTGAAACTGCCTTAATAGTGATATCCGTATGACCAAGACTGATACTTAGTAGCCGGTAATAGGACTAGAATGACGGCGAAGCTGACAATAGGACTGACTGTAGATGGACAGCAACACGGATATATATACACTCTACTCGTCCCTTGTGGGTGCAAGATCCAACCCTTAGAACCCAATTACCTTGTGGTCTCTCCGTGAGAGAAGTCATTTTCTCTTAGCATCAAATTTAACACATCGAAACGTTCGGTTACCGCATGAAAAAACTTAAAATTTGAGGTCGAATGTTGACATTAAAAAGATCACGAAGATGCAATATTGCATCTTTGTGGAATCCATAGGCACTTGACGTCAATGGTAGACGCACAATGATCCCTTGGATGGCTGTTCCTGTTACGGAATTCAACGCAAAGATCCCTTCTGTTATCTTAACTGACTCTTTAGACAGTTTCTTCAACATACTACAGTTTAATTTTCAAAATTAAACACATTTATTTTTGTGTCGACGATGCGTAGATGAGACCTGGAATTCTGTTACTATTACATGGGAGAGTGATCCCCCTTGGGTTTGGGCAAGGTGATTTATGTTAATTTCACTCTGAAGCCTTGCACGCAGAACAGCAACATATAAATTTTGTAGCGCTATTCAGGCATCCTAGGAACAGATCGCAGATCGAGAATGTCACCAGTTCACAAACGGAAAACGCAGGCAAAGCGACCAGGGGGGACGCCAGCCCGCCCGAGGAGCGAAAGGAAGAGGAGGAGGCCGGATCGTCTGGAGGAATTCGAGGCAGCACCTGTTAGGCCTTGTGCCGGGAGAGCGAGCTCGCCGCCGCCATGTGCTCCAGGGGAGGATACAGAGGAGCAGGAGGCTCCGCCGTCCGAACAACAGGAGGACGAACACCCCGCGGCAAACCAGCAGTGTGACAACTCGTCAAGGGGTAGGCAGGCAGCGCCACAGGAATGTTGTTTTATTGATAATAGTAATGTTCAGAATATATGGGAGTCCGCCCTGGGTTTCGGGGGGGGGGGGGGGGGGGGGGGGGATACAAGGGGGGGGCATATATTGCAAGGCACGGGGTCCCCACAGCTAGCCAGGAGTTCCGTGGGAACGCATACATTTTCGCAGGGGTTAGGTGGGGCTATAAATACACTGCCCACGTTAAATAAACATAGACTATGCGAGAGAAAAAAATTTCAAAGAAATTAATATGGGGCGAATAGCAGGCCCATTTTCTGATAAACCAACTTTGCAGATTTCACCTTTGGGCTTGATTCACAAGAAAAATCCGGGTGAATTTAGACTCATTCACCATTTATCTTACCCTGAAAATTATTCGGTGAATGATTACATTAACCCAAATCTGTGTTCAGTAAAATACACCAAATTTGATGAAGCAGTTTATCTAGTACAACGCCTGGGAAAAGGGGCCCCTTTTCAGCAAAAGCAGACATTAAATCGGCATTTCGTATATTACCAATTTGGCCTGGAGATTTTGATTTATTAGGTTTTAAATTTGAAAATCAATATTTTTATGATAAATGCTTGCCAATGGGATGTTCTTTGTCATGCGCACTATTCGAAAAGTGTTCAACCTTTTTAGAGTGGGCTGTAAATCGCCAAGTAATCGCAGGAGAAATATTACAGTATTTGGATGATTTCCTTTTTGGCGGTAAGCCTAATACTAGTCAGTGCCAGTGCATGTTGACCAAGTTTGAAGAAGTATGTGACAAGTTAGGTGTACCTATTGCTCCAGAAAAAACAGAGGGTCCTACCAATGTCATATGTTTTTGGGGTTTAGAGATTGATAAAGTTGAAATGTGTGTTCGAGTACCGACACAAAAAATTCAAGAGATTGTCCAAAAAATCTAGTCTATCCTTAAGGGCCCAAAAACTACCTTAAAAGCTATGCAATCATTATTGGGGGTTCTGAATTTCGCTTGTAAAGCAATAGTGCCAGGTCGTACTTTCTGTAGGCGTCTGATCAACGCTACCATAGGACTTACTCAGCCGTATCATCATTTGAGAGTTACTGCAGAAATCAGGGAGGATTTAAAAATGTGGTTAAGGTTTTTCAAAACATTCAATGGTATCTCCGTTTTTAGTGACCAATTTTGGAGAACGAATTCAGACATGGAACTTTTTACAGACAGCTCTGCAAAAAAGGGAAATGGTTTTGGGACATATTTTAATGGTAGTTGGGCATATGGGGTATGGCCAGAGTTGTGGTTTGAGCTAGGATATACCAGGGACATCACAGTACTAGAGTTCTTCCCCTTGGTGGTGGCAGTATATATTTGGGGTGATAGATTACAGAATAAGAAAATCATATTCCGCAGTGACAATCAGTCAGTGGTAGCAATAGTTAACAAGATGACAACCAAATCGTCTGTTGTGTTAGCGATGTTAAGGCTATTTGTGTTACGTTGTATATATCTCAACATAGTGTTCAAGGCAGAACGCATCCCTGGTTGTAATGTAATAATAGATAGTCGGTCACGTTTACAGCTGAACAAATTCCATCGACTGGCTCCACAGGCAGAACCCACACCAGTTCCAATCCCAACGTGGCTATGGTCCATTTGTCAGATGAAATCGGACGTCTTTTAAATGCTAGTCTTTCAGTCAATACAAAACGAATGTATAGGAGTGCATTGTGCAGTTTTCAACAATTCCGGACTCTATTTGGTATAGGGCACAGTTGGCCGGTACCTCTGGCACACTTTTTGTGGTTTATAGCATTTCATTCTAATAAGGGCTCAGCACCCAGTACAGTAACCTCGTATTTATCGGCAATAAGCTATGTTCACAAATTACATTGTTGGAAAGATCCGACTTAATTTTTTATTGTCAATAAAGCAGTGGAGGGGTTCAGGCGGTTAAGAGGTGGTCCAGATACAAGGGCTGCTATCACATAGGATTTACTGCTTAAAATTTTTCAAGTGTTGCCCAGCATTGCAAAATCTAGTTACGAAAGTCAATTACTCAGGACAGCATACTGTTTAGCATTTGTTTTGGTTTGCTCAGGGTGGGGGAGATTGTTTATACACCAGCTTTGGCGTCGAAATATCCTTTGCTCATTTCAGGTTTGATAATGGCCAAGGATAAGATAGTGGTAACCATATGCCATTCCAAAACTGACCAACGAGGTCGGTCAACTAAAGTCTCAATTTCGAGAATCAACGAATGTCCAGTTTGCCCATTAGTTAATATGGCGATGTATTTAAAGTTAAGACCTAAATGTGCTGGCCTTTTGTTTAAACACCAAAATGGAACCCCATTGGCACGTTATCAATTTAGTGCAGTGTTGAGGAAGGCAGTCATTAGTCTGGGTCTCCCTAACCAGAACTTTAAATTCCACTCATTCCGTATTGGGGCTGCCACAACATTATTAATGAATTGTATTTCAGACGAAGTCATCAAAAGGCTGGGCAGATGGAAATCAAAAGCATATTCATCATATATCCGGATAGACAAAATATTAAATTGATAAAACGAGTCAGACTGGGAGTTATCTCCCTTATACCAATCACCGTTAAATATGAGTAAGGCTAATACAGCCATAAGTATTTCAGAGGTATGGATTATGGGATCTTCCATTGTCTACTGGGCGCACCGGAAGTCACATACATTGTCAGACCCTAACTTGCATCTGCAAAGTTTGGGGGGGGGGGGGGACATCAAATGGCTGGGCAAGCGTGGAATGTCCTGGTTTGATGTGAGAGGAGCCTTGAACTATCATTTGAGCCGCCATTCTCCACCACATTTTCTTGTTATCCACGTCGGAGGTAATGATCTTACAACAACGCCAGCTTCAGAGTTATGTGCGCGGATTGAAAATGATGTGTTCACGCTAGCCAGGAACCTACCATCTTGCATATTTATATGGTCAGATATTTTACCACGTCTACAGTGGCGTAGAGGGGAGTCAGTAGTAGGAATAGAGAAGAAACGCAAACGGGTGAATAGGGTAGGTCGTCGGGCAGTTCTAAATGCGGGGGGTAGGGTGATCAAACATGTAGATATAACCTATGATTGTCCAGGGTTATTTCGAGAAGATGGAGTCCATTTAGATGATATGGGTAATGCAATTTTTCTCAATACATTACAAGGAGCTATGGAAACTTTCTTTGCTGGTCAAAGTTCACCTGACACTGTCAAATTAGTATTCGAATAAAGAGTTATCGGTCCTGGTGGGGGATGGATGGGTGGTGGAACTGTATAAACAGTTCCAAGTGGCTTGTTGTGGCGAGCAGGCATAATTTTATATAAATTTCAATATGTATAGGTTTTTTTGTGTGTGTTACATGTAGAAAGTGGGTAATGACTTGCTAAGGTTTACCCTAGGAGTCGGTTAAACCCACGTATTATAAAGGGTTATTGGTTAATTCCCCATCTAACTTGCCCCGTGAATCCCAGGGAGTCGTGATGGTGGAACTTTAATGTAATGGTATTTAGGATATATATTTAGTATGTTAGTAATACTTGCCAATGCTGTACCCTGGAAGTATAGTGGAGCTTCGTCGTTCTGGGTAGATCGTCAAAGCTAAGGATAGTTGGTTTCTCCGGGGGGAGAAGGTTACGCAGTACTTGCCAAGGTTATACCCTGGAAGGTTGCGGTGGAGCCTTATAGGACAAGGCTAATTATAGTCTGGTACATGCAAACTCTGCCAAGGTTTACCCTGGGCAGGGTAAGTTGCTGATGTGTCCGGTACCGGTTG